TAATCTTACTTTGCTCGTAGACAATTTAGCAGTGTATAAGATACTACCAAGTAAAGTCCTCCAAGCGCTGGGAATTTGGAGAAATAACTGTATCATCTTAACAGACTGAAATACTGTCGAAGATAGATACTTGGTATGTGAGATGCAAGTAATATCAACGTAATTGCACACTCTCAATGATGCCAATAATTTTTTTGATATATCAAGAAACTCGTTACCCCAGCAACTTTATGTTGATAATTTATCTTTAAAAACCCATTCCTCGAAAATATGCATCTTACCGTTTATATTTGTGAGGTGACTTAATGTATACGATTAACAAACAAATCGCATATGAAGAAATAAAAGCCTATAGACACAAAGAGGCTACATTTTTCTTGTTAAAGCAGTTTTGCATCAGTCTGAGCTGTTTGAATAACACATAATGTTGACAAAGATAACTTAAAAGTAGTCGAATACTCCAGACGTCACAACAACATTTCGTTCTGTATCCCTCCTAGGTATGGTCTGAATTAACCGGACTATAATATACCCAGCAAGCTCATTATACGAAATACTTCTCATGAAATACGGTAAAAAAATTTTTGAGCTTGATCCTTGATTAAATTATTCAATCATTTAAAGACTGAAAATGGAAGTTCCTACGTACAACAATGTCTCCTATTTAGCAATTGGAATAATTACCAGACTAGCCCTAACTGTTACCAATTGTGTTGTAATCAATTAAGTACTATCTGGTGAAGTAATTCATGTCCATGAGAAAGTTAAAGACATATTCGACCGTAATTCCAATAATGCATCTCAAGTTGTCGCCCACGGTATTTATTTCAACTAGTTATTCATGATTTTTGTCTCAATTTGGGAATAAGAATATTTGCTGGAATATGGGTTGTTGCAATCTATGTAATGTGGAGTAGTTTCGTGACAGAGCATCTGAACTCTCTAGAACACTAAAACGCAGAAGAAAGCGATATAACAAAATGGACAGTGAACTCTTTCAGAGCTGTATGAGAGAGATTCCACTTGTATATCATTAGTAACCAAGTGATGAAACAGCGATACCAACATTTCCACTAATGAAGTCAACAAAGAAAATTTTTATCGATCATTTGGATGAATCTGGTATCAATAATATCTTAAATGCGTGATAAACATGTGAATATTAAGTTCATGCGTAATTTTTCTAGATACTACATAAATGTTAATAGAAGCCAACGATAAATACCAGACATTTTTTGGTGTAATGAGACAGTATTATGTTATGTACTTTTTGTTATATAGCATAATGATTTATGTAACTGTTTGTTTTACTATAATACAATGGGTAATACAATGGGATTGATCAAAACCTTCCTTACATAGGAAGTTATTTAATGTTAAGTAACCGACGGTGCCACGTAATTATGGTAGCATCGGGAACGAATGAAAATGGGATCGTACATAAATATTATATAAAATGAATTAGTATGATATCCTACTGTACATGTAGATTACAACACTTATAAAGATGAAGAAGGTATTTTGTACCCCCATCTACTACAGAAAACTGGTTTTATTCCGATAAGACAATAGGAGGGATTTTGATTCCTAATGATGAACTAGCCCCAATCAGAAATATAAAAGTTGGGGACTACACGTTATTTTGGAGATTAGATAGTAAGGCTGTTGCAACTTAATTGTTTGTTTAACGTCCAGGCCTTTTGAAAAAATTAAGGGGGGAGGGGGGCTTAAGTTAAACAAACTAAATAAATAAACATAGGAAAATTTGAAAATTTCAGAAGGGATTATTTATCATTATATGTTTATTAGCTTTTAAATTTTTTCAAAAATAGAGGGGGTATTTAATAATATGTGTTTATTAGATCTCAAATTTTTTAAAAAATAGAGGGGGGTGGTAGACGTTAAACAAATAATCAAGTTGGAACGGCCTAATCAATACCATATGCATAATCACTGTAGTAACCAGTAGAAACCCCATATAATTAGTCTAGGAATATCCCCCAAATTTTCTGTTCATTTTTTTGTCAACAATTACTGATACGTTCGAATGAAACTTGGCAGTATATTCTATTAACGCAGAAATCCTTATACAAATGTTTGTGCTTCGCACAGTTTCACTGTTTTTTGAGACAGCTATGGCAGCTAAGTGAATGCTGTTTTTATTCTGATTAGGATTTGCGTTTATAAATAAAACGTGTATCTAGACTAATGACACATGTGAGCAAAGGAATCATTGTGTCATACAAATTAGGTGAAATGATTGATCTGAAAACGCAAAGCAATGCTGCAGCAAAATTTCTTATTTCTTTCAAACTTTAATAATACATAAATTACAGGGATGGCACGGGATATTTGTGAGCGACATAGAATAAACAACATTTATCCTTTTTTATATCACCCTCTCCACTTCATAAAGTGCTGACAGATACTTCTGGTACCGCATCATTGACTTCGGATAAGGTAATTATGAGCACCTCTCTGTGTGCTAATTTAAAACACTACTGGTCGCTAATTGTTTAAAGTGAACTAATATGGGAGTTGACCAATAATTCCAAGGAAAGTATAAATGGCATTATTCTTAATATATAGTTACCATAATCTATCTCCTTTGGTCTTACATAACATTATAATTTGTTTCTGCTGAATCTGTTACAGCACTTATCCGAAAATACGATGCGTATACGACATGTCTTCTCCATATGTATGAAAAAATATCGAGACTAAAAAACATCTGTCATTATATCGTTATATAATTTTGGGAAGAGATTATGTCTTCTTCCGTATGTATTAACATTTTATGGTACTGTAATTAAAAATTCCGTGGAATACTAATGGACATACACGCCGATATGAGTTTCTTTTTTCAGTAAAAAAAGTATATACTGTGGTAACCAGTCAGAACCTGCTCGAAGAGCAAAATTATTCGAAATGATGTCCATGGGAAATGGCTATATTGGACGGTATATTGCATTAGGAACACATTGCTTCGCAATACCCTCCAGGCATTTCCTAAGACCTTTGAGCCTATGAACTGACCGTCTTGCCGCTCAACCATGCCTATTACTCTTAACGTAGAAACAATTGTTATCGATAACCAATTAATGGATACATTTCTCCCCCCTCCCCAGAGGGAACTTCCTCTGCAAAGGTCTTAGGAAATGTGTTCATAAGGTCAATCCAGTTCTACGGAGTACATGAGCGTGGGCTTTGCCTAGTTATACTCTTGCCGCTCAACCAGTAAAACCACCCATAGGGTGCGCCCTGTATTTATTTTTACAATTCTCATACATTATCAATTCCATAAATAAATAATAGACAAATGAATACAAAAAAAATCTTTAGTCCATTAGGACATTCAAAGAAGTGATTTTTCGAGGAACGAGGAGGCTTTAGCCTGACCGTCTTGCCCTAGATTCTATCTACCCTCCGGGTACGAAGTAGAACTGGAGTAACTAGGACGAAGTCCTAGAAGGTATGTACCCATTAATGGGTTTGTAATAACCATCATTTATACGTTATGATTAATAGATCCATGGTCGCAAAAAAATCTCTATGATTTTTCAAGGAACGAGGGGCCTTCGGCCCATTCCATGAAATTACCTGAAGGGCGCTAAAAGCGTAGAGGGAGGAGGTTCTAAGAACCTACGTTCATAGGCTAAAAGCGTAAAGGATGGAATTTACGTAGTACCCATAGGAGCAGATCTCCTATATAAAACATTTGGTTTTATGGGTAGGGCAAGACGCTCAGGGTATAACCTAGTATAACCACCCAAAGGGTACATATTTCGCCTCTTTTCGAAGGAAAAATAATGCTCACCAATGCAATACGCCATGACTACATTAGTTATTGCATGAGAGCTATATAGCTACAAATTACCATCGTGCTAATGAATAGTAACTAGTGTAATCTATTGCGTAATATGTTATGTAGTAGTAATTTATCGTTACCGAAAAGTGGTAACTCATTCATTAAATTACACAAACAATATGCAGCGAAATCATATGCAATATTTTTCCATCATCACCGAAGAGTAGTACAACAGTATTGGATACTATGATTTACCTTCGTACTCAGAGAGTAGTAACCATCTACTGCACGGTGCAATATGCGTGTCAATTTCAATCGTTACCGAAAAACAATAACACAAAAATTACATATTTTATGATCTTACGGAAAATAGTAACCAGTGGGACTATGTAAATTTACTTCGTAGGCTCCGTCTAGTGGTATCCGCAGATAAATTAACAATCATTACTGAAGAATGTAAATTCATGCGGGGTCATGCTGGATATTCTATCTGTTTTTTTACATCGTTACCGAGGAATAGTATGAAAATTCCCGCAGACCTACGTATGTAGTGCTATTTTTAAGAGTTTTATTTGTTATTTCTAGCCACAGAGAGTATATCAAAGTACTCCACATAGTAATGTAGTCATGAATAGCGCAGAATGAGTTGAAAACACCATAGGTTCATGCGGTATTGTCCTGGCGGAGCCATGAAAGCTTTGATATAGACAATGCTAGCAAAGCATTAAACATCTACACACATAGGGATAGTAAAAACATTGCTAAAAAATCCCTGCGTTACGTCTATAGGGCAGTAAAAGCTAGGTATAAGTTTATACAGTACGTATTATAGTTCTACTAAGTCGTGCTTTTTTTCCCGTTTCATCCATTAAGATACGGCTATGTTGTGGAACTATCTTATCGGATTTTCGGTGTCATTTTTACCAAAATTCTGTTCAAGGATTTCTTACTAGTAAATGAAGTTAGTCTTTGGCATAAGACCTTTGATGGCGTTTATATCTTGGGGTGAAATATGACTACAACCCTCTAATGAGACTCGTTTTAATTGCTCACTACTAGGGAAGAGATTTAGTGCATTTTTGGTAATTTGGGTCCTATTCAATGAAATTCCTTGCAATTCCTTTCCTACTTTTTCAAAAAGTATGTAAAGGCCCACATCCGTTATACGGCTAGTACTAAAACAGTCTATTTCTCAGATATGCTCACAAAACAAAGCGATACATTCTAGAGATATATTTGTTAACTTTTCACACGAACCAAGATCTAAATATTTTATCTTTGGATTTGCGGAAACGAGTCTTATTACTGCCTTGTCTGTAATATACCTATTAACTTCAAAGCAATTAAGCGGATGAACCGTCATAGAGAAAAATTCCAAGTTATTGCAGTGTTTGCTAAACATGTTTATATGTTGATCCGTGATCTTTCCGCACATTGTGAATACTTGAACTTCTTTAAGTGTTTTACTATTAGTAGAGATTAATTCTGAAAGGTCAATCCTCCCAATTTCAAAACAGTAGAGGGTGAAACATTCCAAATTCAGATGATTATTTTCGATTAATAGTTTAATCACAGTATTGCACGAATTATCCCACCATTCTTCGCCAATAACATCGTCGTATAGTCCAGTATCGGATAGTCCAGTATCGGGAAATGTCTCATAATTAACCCCTAATGTCAATTTTTTAACTTTGGATATATACCTGTTTTTTTCACCAGAAGAAAGAACCGAAATGAGTTCATTAATTTTCACTTCATCATCTTTTGTTTCTACCTTGACTTTGATCTCAGTAGAGATCATTTCATGTATTGCAATGTTTTTCAACTCCATTCGAACTATCAATATTAGATGCAATATACGTATTTTCTTTGTTTAATTAGGGATGACACTTTTTACCAGGAGATTATAGGCATTATCTGCTCTTTATTCTCAGAATGCTGAGCATGAACTACTGCATGACTTTGACGACTTCTGGTCGCTAAAATTTCGGATATTACATCGCCTCTTATGGTGGATATAAATATCAGTTAGTGGTATTGTAACACAAGACAGTATGGATATATCTTTCCCGAAGAAATAGGAACTGTCTAAAACAGTCACTAAGATTCCCGTTTCGTAATCGCATAACGTTACCTTAATAAGTCACTGCTACTTGCACTTGGTAAGTATTCACGCATCTTGTTCTGGACTGTTGTTGATTATTTGTTTTTTCTTGCTTTTACAGTAGAGGATCTATTTGCCTGAGTCCCATAATCTTTTGGCATCCCTACCGTATCCTTTAGAGAAAGTATTTACTATGAGAATGGTATGACTAGTTATGTTACAATAGAGAACGGGGGTCAAGAATTTCGCCAATGATGGTTTCATTAAAAAAGCTACTGACTACTAGGGTAATCTGCTGGCGTCATACTACATGAGCTCTCTAGGCGATATTTGGTATGTTCTACAAATTTGTCGTTGTCACAATTCACTTCTAGCAGCAACATCTGCGGCTATAACTTTATAATCATATGTTCCCGAAATTCTTACCCAGTTCTGATTTACTCTCTGCTCAGTCTCTTATGTGGCAGGCGTATAACTATTTTTCAGTTGTAACTAGGCACTAACTGCTAATCACGATAAAAACATGGATTCATTTCACCCAGAAGAAGTATACGAAAAAATAAAGTAAACGGAGTCTGGATTTCTTCGAAAAATCTGTATAAGAATATGTGTATAATGGCGTACTCATTCGTGAATTTTGGCATGGGTGTGTAAGGAAATGGAAAATCACCCGGAAAATAGTTCTGATGCAAGATGGGCTGCCTATCAGTTTGTAAAACGAAACGTTAAACGGGCCCTTGAAGAGGTGACGATATTTGTTCGCAAATATTAGGTGACAATGAAATGGTATTGTAGTTATACATTCTGTAAAGCCTGACACATTCCATAAGTTACAACCAATGAATTACAAGTTGAGTATATCTATGTTGTATTCGTTCTTGTTTTTTGAACCAGTATCGGCCTGTTTCCTTTTGAGTTGGAATTTGTGATGCAGCTCTAAAGTTGCTTGCCGAAAATAAAAAGGCCATTGCCGAAATGGTAAATATAATTTCGATATTTCAATATGACGAAATGACGAAATTATTCTATTAGTAAAATTGACCAAAATGCAAATGACGAAATAGAAAAATAATTTTGACAATTTTGACATGATGAAATTCACTAATTTCGACAAGCAGCTCCAAGTAAATATGCAAGAATCTCTTGGTAGAGTCTTTCGAGAGATGGAGCCTTATTATACGTATAAAGGAGATTCGTAAAATCGTAGTATAATTTTTAATCAAAATAGACACAAACCGTTTCCGTGAAATTTGTAAAATCGTAGTATAAGTTTTAATCAAAATAGACACAAACCGTCTTCTGAAGTTGAAAGAGAATAAGTAACAGTTTTCACAATGATGTCAGGTGATAAATAACGCTTATGTTTCTTTTTTTTTACTCGTTGGAGTTATGTTTGTAACAAATGTTCTGAAATTTTAACTATAGGGAAAGAAAGGTAGAAACAGAATTAGTTCGTTATAAAAAATTTCTTTGTGAACAGTGTTATAAATAAGTTCATTATCTGCGATAAATATATTTTGTGCTCCTGGTAGAACATTACTTACAGTTCCAATAAAAAAATTTCATTTTGCACCCTCATGTAACGTACGAGATTTTTGCCTTTTTTATATTCAGTATTTTTACAGGTAAAATTTTTTCATACACATGATGAAATAAGTCAGCTGTGGCCCGGTCTCTTGGATTGATTTTCTCCAAATAATGTGTTCAGTGAATACGAATTATAGTTCCCGAAAGGCACGTGATACTCTAAACATCACCTGGTTATTAGTCGCAGACTTTTAACCTTAGGTAGTTACGTCATTATTTTCAACGTCCCGTCAGAGACCCGGGAATATTCCGATATCAAATCATAAATTTTTATCACGATAACAGCAAAAATTCTGATTTTATTCCAATATAAATTTTACTAATTATAGTAATTATTTATCACTATTTTGGTTATTAAAATACATCATAGTAAGAAATCTAAGTGATTCTGGACTTAAGTTTTGTCTATCGTCATCTAAAATTTTATTATATGCAGAAAAACTTCTTTCTACCGCACAGGAAGAGATTGGCAACCATATATAATTTTGTGCTATTTTTTCTAAAAGAGGAAGTTGTAATGAAACTTTATCCCAAAATTCATTTAATTCAGAAAATTCTATAAGATTTAAATTTATATTGACATAAATTGACCATTCTTGAATAGAGGTTGGAACCGACCAAAAAACCTTAATCGATTAATAATCGATTAATATTAAAATATTAAAAATTTTTTTTTTTTTGACCGCAGATTGCACCAAATTGTTTTTGATCATAAATTTAGTTATAGGAAAGTCTTATTTATT